CCCCGCCTCCCGCCTCCCCCAGGACCCTAGCACCGTCCCCAGGCTGCCCAAGCCCCTGGTCCAGAACCCTGGCTCCGTCCCCGGGCCACCCAAGCCCCTCCCACTCTGGGCTCAGATTCTGCCCCAGATCCCTCCACCTCCATGGGTCCTGATTCAGTTGCTCCTTCTCAGGGCTCTGGCCCCACCGCTGGGACCCTGGCCCCGCTCCCCGGTTGCCCAAGCCCCCTCCCCAGGACCCTGGCTGCGCCCCAGGACGCTCAGGCCCCTCCCTGGGCCCCGCCCCGCCCCAGGACGCTCAGGCCCTCGCTACCTGGATCTGCAGCTGGCGCTTGTGCAGGGCGGAGTGGATCAGGGCGAGCGTGGAGGAGTCGGAGCAGGCCGGGGACGGGCCTCGGCGCGGGGAACGGCCGCGGCCGGGCGAGGAGCGCCGCGGCGGGGACGGGGTCCGGGGGCCCGAGAGCCCCCGCAGGCTGCCGTCCGACGCGTCCGCCGTGTGCTCGGAGCCGCTTAGCTGGACGCCGCTCTCCATGTCCGACAGGACCGCCTGAGGGTGGGGTAGGGAGGCAGAAGGAGGGCAGCCGGGGGGTTAGTTGGGCAAAGAAGCCCTGGCGAGGCAGTGGGGCTGGGGGGCCACGTGTCCAGCTTCATCCCAAACTCTGCAGCACATTCTAAGCTCTCTTCCTACAAGAAGTCTTCCTGATTCCACCTCCACTAGCTCACAGCCCTCAGCCCGCCACGTCAGGGCTCCCATTTACTGAGAAGACGTCATTCAACGTTTCTCACGGATGGGCCCCGAAAGTGCCCTGCCTCTCCTCTCAGACTGGGGGCTTCCCGCAAGGTGGGCGCCAGGCAGCCTGCGTCCCCAGGTCCCCCACCCACTTGCAGTTCAGCTCAAGGCCACCAGAGGGCGTGGTGGCCCTGGACTGCCTGGCTCCCCAGGGCTCCCACCCCTTCTCCCTCCAACCTCGCACCTGTGCCAGGTCCCTCAGGGTCTGCTGCAGCCCCTCTCCATCCTCTGTCTCCAGGGCCGCCTGCTCCTGGAGCCGCAGGGATTCCTGGAGTGGTGTTGGGGAGACAAAGAAAGGTGGTCAGGGTCTCTGCCCCAGTCTGAACCCCCACCTTCTTCTCCCTTCCCGGTCCACCAACAATCAGGGGGCCTCTAATACCCCTAGGCTAGCCACTTGGTAGAGCCCACAGCAGCCCCAGTACCCTCACTAACAGACTAGGCCCAGAGAAGTGCACTGTTCTGCCCCAGGTCACACAGCCTATTGGAGGAGAGCTGGACATCGAACCCACGCTGGACCCCACACAGAAGGGTCACCAACCCAGGTGGTACCCTTGAGGAATGTCCCTCTGGTGGGGAGGCAGCTGAGTTCTAAGAGAAAGAGCCTTGGGCTAGCAGGGCACAGCATGAGTTCAAGTCCTGATTCCCCAGCATACTTGCTCTGAGACACTGGACAAGTATTTCCCCTGGGCCTCAGTTTTCTCATCTGTGTAATGGGGATCATGCTACGGGGCTACTGAGAGGATGAAATGGGATAAAGGAGGTGAATGTGTTTACCACTAAGCCTGACACACACTAGGTGCTCAATTAATGAGGGGTGAAACTGAGTCTGAGGGGGATGCTCAGGGGTGGCCCGAGCAGCCCAGCCCTCAGCCTGTGTCCATGGATCTGGTCGGTCCCCCCATCCCGCCCTGCTACATCTCAGGAGGAGCTGCATCTCACCAGGGCCTCGAGCTTCTCGGTGAGGGCCTTGTTGACCTGATCCTTCTCCAGATTCTGGTTCTGAAGGCGCTCCACTGTCAGGGCCAGCTCCTTCACCCTGCAGGTGGGGGAGCACAGAGGTGAATGGGAGACCCACCCCAGCTTCTCCTCAAACCCAGCAGCTCTGTGTCCTTCATGCTTCCCCAGCCTGAGGCAGGGACCCGAGGATTCACCTCCCTAGCTGTGCGACCTTGAGCAAGTCACTTCTCCCCGGGCCTCAGACTTCTCAGCTGTAAAATGAGAATGAGGCTGCCTCCCACTTTATCTCACGGGAAAGCACTCTGGGACTTGTCCAGGTCGCAGGAACTAGGAGCCAAAGTCTGGCATCAGAGGTTGAACTTCTCATGACGTGCCCTGGGCAAGAGCCCTCTGAACCTCAGGCTCCCCCTCTGCCAAACGGGGTGCCTGGGAAGACTGGCTGAGCTCACGTGGGGGAAGGGCCCGTCCCGGGTGAACAGACACCCTTACCCCCGGCATCTCCAGGTGCCCACTCTGCAGGGAAGCCTGTCTCGCGTGGCGTCTACCCGCACCCACCTGGCGCTGAGGTCAGCCTTGTCCAGGCTGTTTTGCACCTGCAGCCGGGCCAGGTCCTTCTCCTGGAGCTCCTTGTCCCGCAGCTGAGTCTCCAGCTGGGCCTGCAGCAGCGCCTGCTTCTCCAGGGCCGCCTCGGCCCGGCTCTCGGCCAGCTGCAGGCCTGCGCTCAGCCCCAGGCCTGCCTCCTGGATGGCTCGTGAGGTCCGGGCCAGCTCCCCTCCCAGCTGCAGCAGGTCCCTGGTGGAGAGAACCCAGCATAGGGATCGGGGGGGGGGCTCCCAAATGTAAATTAAAACTACACTAGGCGGCCAGCTGGTGGCATAGTGGTTAAGTTCACGCAATCCGCTTCCGCGGGCCGGGGTTCACAAGTTTGGATCCCGCGCTCGGACCTACGCACCAGTTATCAGGCCATGCTGTGGTGGGATCCCACATATAAAGTAGAGGCAGATAGGCATGGATGTTAGCTCAGGGCCAACCTTCCTCAGCAAAAAGAGGATTGGCAACAGATGTTAGCTCAGGGCTCATCTTCCTCATCAAAAAAAAAAAAACCTACACTTGGATGCCATTTGTCCCTATCAGATTGGAAAAGTCACATAACTCACAGTGTAGGTGAGGCTGTGGGGAAACAGGGACGCTACACTGCTGGCGGGAGGGTAAGGAGGTGTAACCACAACGGAGGGCAGTTAGGACGAGCTCTGACAACTGTAAATGGATAGGCTCTTCGACCCACCAGCTGTACCCCTAAGAATTTATCCTATAGATGTGCCGCAATGCAAGGAAAATGCCCTGCGTATGAGGTGATCCACTGTGGCATTGCTCGTGTAAGAAATACTGGTGGCAACCTAAATGCTTATCAAAAGGGGGCTGCTACTAAACAAATCATGAGACACCCATCCAATGGAATGTTCGGTAGCTGAGAAAAAAGAAAGGGGAAGCTCTTCAGAGCCTGATATGGAGCCACCTCCCAGTTATAACTATCAGATGAGGAAAGCAGCTTCAAGAACTGCAAAGATGAAATTTTACCAAGAATACACAGAAAAAGCGTGTGTGTGTCTATGTGTGTGATCTGCTATATTTGCTTGTATAAGATAACCCTGTAGGGTCACTTAGGAAACGGGCCATTCTGCTTGCCTCCAGGGGAGTGTCTAGGCCAGAGGGGGGAGGGAGACTTTTCACTGCACACCCTTCTGAAATTTGAACCTTGAGAGTATGTGAGTTATTCAAAATAAAATATTAAAATTTTTTTTTGAGGGAGATTAGCACTGAGCTAACATCTGATGCCAATCCTCCTCTTATTGCTGAGGAAGATTGGCCCTGGGCTAACATCCATGCCCATCTTCCTATACTTTATACGGCACACCGCCACAGCATGGCTTGATAAGCAGTGTGTAGGTCCACGCCCAGGATCCGAACCTGCGAACCGCTGGCCGCCGAAGCAGGGCGCATGAACTTAACCACTACGCCACCAGGCTGGCCCCACAATATTAAATTTTTAAGTGCTAATTAAAAGTAAAACATATTTGGTTATAATTACCAAGACAAAAAATAACAAGCGTTGGAGAGGATGTGGAGAAAAGGGAACTCTCATACACTGCTGGTGGGAATGCAAACTGGTGCAGCCACTATGGAAAACAGTATGGAGATGCTCAAAAAATTAAAAATAGAAATACCATACGACCCAGCTATCCCACTACTGAGTATTTATCCAAAGAACATGAAATCAACAATACAAAGAGATTTATGCATCTCTATGTTCATCACAGCATTATTCACAATAGCCAAGATGTGGAAGCACCCAAGTGCCCATCAACTGATGAATGGATAAAGAAAATGTGATATATATACACAATGGAATACTACTCAGCCACAAAAAAAGATAAAATCGTGCCATTTGCAACAACATGGATGGACCTTGAGGGGATGATGTTAAGCAAAATAAGCCAGACAGAGAAAGACACACACCGTATGATTTCTCTCACATGTGGAAGATAAACAAACGTATGGACAAAGAGAACAGATCAGTGGTTACCAGAGGGGAAGGGGGTGGGGAGTGGGAGAAAGGAGTAAAGGGGCACACACGTAAGATGACAGATAAAAACCAGACTGTTGGTGGTGAGCATGACGCAGTCTATACAGAAACTGATATATAATAACGTACACCTGAAGTTACACAATGTTATAAACCATTATGACCTCAGTAAAATAATTAAAAAAAAAACAAATAAAACATATTTAAAACACATCAAATAGGTTCAATCCTTTCCTTCCCTGAGTGACCTGTACCACCAGGTATCTAAGAGTAAGGAGAGGGAGCGCCTCATTATAGAAGAATTCCAGTTAATACAGGAAGAAGGGACAGACGAGACAATCGTGACTCTGCACCCTCTGATGGACGTCTGGAGGTGGGCATCGAGCATCAAGGTAGGCTAATGCTGATGCACAAAAAGAGAGAGGCCAGGCATAAGGGGCCTCCTGACGGAAAAGCACGCACCACTGATGAAGAAGTCTTGTGAAAGAAACCCCCCAAAACAAAAACTGAACCTGGATCTGATCAAGCCTTGAATCTACAGGAAATACAGGGGACAAAGGTGTTCAATGACACCGCAGAATCCAGACCGTGGGAATCTCTTAGGACAACTGTCCCCGTTTCCCGAACAAATAAATTAAGACTTAAAAGACAAATCAACCCAGCGCTTTTTGTGAACGTCTGTGGATCCTGATTCAAACAAACATAAAGACAAGAAGTGAAGCAAAATCATCTGTGACCTCGATGAGTCAACTGAAAATTTGGACACTGACTGACTATTTGGTGATTTTAACAAAAGATCATTCATTAAACAAATTTTTAATGTAAAAAAGGACACAAATGAGTCTGCCTGCCTCCGGGCTCTCCCAGCAGCCTCCTCTGCTCAAAGACGGAGCAGGACCAAGCTGCCCTGCTGAGGGGGGCCTTTGAGACTCTGCTTTACAACCTGGCCACCCTTCATCTGCCTTTATCCGCTCCAACCCCACTGGCTGCCATTCTCTCCCACCTCAGGGCCTTTGCTCATGCTGTTCTCTCTGCCTGGAGGGCCCCCAGCTCTCCAGTTAAAATCCTACCCATCCCTTGAGGTCAGTGCAAATTCCACCTCCTTTATGAAGCGTTTTTCTGACCTCCCCCTACCCCCATCCTTCTGAGCCTCTGGGACATTCTCTCTGTTCCACTTTCATATCACTGACAACTCACTTCCTCAGTCTAGAATTTTGGGAGTCTGTATCTTTTCTCACTAGAGGTTGAGAAGTCCTTGGTAGCAGAAGCTGAATATTCTAGTGGATTAAAAGCAGGAACTGTAAATCCTGACTCAGCCATTTACTTACTGCTGTGTGACCTTAGGAAAGTCACTCTGCCTCTCTGAGCCTCAGTGTCTCGATCTATAAAATGGGGATTATTACAGTTCCTACCCCACAGGGACGCTATGGATATTAGATGAAATAAAATGTACAAAGAGCCCAGCTCAGAGTAAACACTTGGTAAATGTTGACTGCTGTGATCATGGTAAGAGTTAATTATTTCTAGTAGCCTCTGCATCTCCACAGGGCCTGGCACACAGTAGGTGTGGTGGGTTGGACTGAAGTTCAACTGAGTTGAGTTGAATTCAACTTAAAGAGCGGGGTGGTCTCCCAGCTGCTGCGGCATCTCCCCGAGCCGCCCCCTCCGCCGGCCAGGCCTCACCTCTCGGTGGACATCTTCACCTCGCTGACCAGCTGTCGGAATCCCACCACCTGCCTCCAGAGAAGGAGCAGGCGGCTGTGCTCGCTGCTGAAGTAGGTGTTGAAGGACTGGAGGGAAGATGGCCGAGTGAGGGGCTGAGTGAGGGCCGCCCACTCACTCCCCAGCTCTGACCATCCCGGGAGGCACCATGGCCGGGGAGTGGGTCTTCCCAGGGGTCAGCTCTGGGCCTGCCTACAGGACTGTGTCGGAGCTGTCACGCTCACGCTCCCGAGCCTCCCTCTGCCTCCCTCTGGCGCAGGGAACGGGATTTCATTGTCTCCATCGGCTGCAAGAGGCAGCACAAAAGGTAGAGCGTGCTGGGGACCTAGGTTTGCGTCGTGGCTGCCAGCTGCATGACCGCAGGCAGCTTCCTTAACCTCTCTCTAACAGGAGGATGACAGCACCTACCACAGACGGTTACTCTGAGGAACAGAGGAGAAAATGCACGCCTGGCACTGGGGACGTGCTAATCGGGGCCGGCTATTATTGTGACCACGATTTACCTCTGCTACAGGCCTCACCTGGCCCGCAGGGCCCTCCCTCTCCCGACATCTGGGTCCTCACCACTCTACAAAGGCCCGTCCCCTCGGGTCACCCCTGAGGCCCCACCGGCCTCCCAGCACGCCCGTGCCCACCTCCTCCTCGCGCCTCCACGCCGCCTCCCGCTGCTCCAGCTCCTTGCAGCTCCGTGTCCAGTCGCTGGTCACCTTACGGATGTCCTCACTCAGAGCCTGGTTGGCCGAGCTCGCCTGGTCCAGCTGCTCTCGGAGCATAGCGTTCACCTGGGCCAGGCTGGCGCTCCTGGGTCAGGCAAAAGGGTGCAGTGGGCACACGGCCGGAGAGGACTGCCCTGCCAGCCACGCGCCCTCCCTGCGGCGCCCCACCTCTGCTGCTCCTCCTCCAGGCGGATGAGGGCGCTCTCCAGGTCCTGGCTGTGCTCCGTGTCCTGGGTGGGGGAAGCGGGGGCATCAGGTTGGGCATGCAGCGGGAAGGGCCAGCCCTGCCCACCCCGGCACCCACCCTGAGCCGCCGCTGCTCCAGCTCCGTGGACCTCTCCAGCAGCTGCTGCTCCAGCTCCGAGCACTTCTTCTTGTACTGGAGGATCTGGGGATGGGTGGGGGCGGATGGTCAGCCCCAGGGGGCGGGGGCAGGGCACAGTGAGCACAGGGGTGGCAGGAGCAGGAGCGGGCGACCCTGACCTTGACCTGCAGCCGCTGCACGAGCTGGGCCTGCCGCTGCTGGCCCTCCTGGTAGGCCTGCAGCTTGCGCCGGTAGGAGGCCTGCTCCTCCTGCAGCTGCCTCCGCAGCTCCGCGCTCTGCCGTGCCAGCCCCCTGGGCTCTTGTGTTTCCAGCTCCCCAGACTCCAATCGCACAGCCTGCTCCAGCTGCAGAGAAGGGCCCGGGGTGAGAGTCCTAGGCCTCTAGGGGAGGCAGGCACAGGCCTCTGCAGGGGGCGCCAGGCCGCCGGGCCCAGACCCACAATGCCTTGCAGGCACATGAGGGCAAGCCTAGGATGCAACGCATGTGTGCACAGGCTAATGCAGCTGTGCATGGACACACAGAGTGGGCATGCATGGACCCATACAGGTGGACCCACATACATGTGCATGCAAACACAAAGATGTATCTGGGGGCAAACTTTAAGGTCCTTGGTGCACCGTGAGCCTCTCCTCCAAAGCACCTACCCCGGCTATGGTTGGTGATTATTAGATCCACGCCCGTGTCTCCCCACCCGCACCCTGAGTGAGCTCAGGAAAGCCTGGAAGTCTGTTCCTCACAGTATCTTAGACCCAGAGCAGTGGCCGTGGCTTGCTGAGATCATGAATTAATGGCATAAGCACATGTGAATACATTCGAACAGAGGCATCAATACACGTATTTGTATACTCAGATTTGTAGGAAGCACACACAAATGTTCTAATACACAGCACCTCTCGCTAATGCCCCTCAGTTCCAGCCCAGCTCGGGTGCCCCACTCTCCCTTACCTCGTGAGAAGCCTCTGCTGCCCCCGCCCTTCCTCCACCCCCAGGCGGCTTACAGCCCCACCGTTAGCAGACCCTGTGGGCACAGGCGGGATGCTGGCCTGGCTCTGGCTGTCCCCACTAGCCAAGGAACCCCCTAACCCACTTAAGCACCTGCTGGTCCCAGGGGGCCCCTCAGCCTCCTCCAGCTGTTGGGGAAGTGGGGATGGAGGAGGCAGCTGAGGACGAGTAGGACTAACAGAGGAGTGAGAGTGCCCAGGGAGAACCAACGGGGACAACAGCCCAGTTGCTCACCCGCTTCAGCAGATCCAGGCCCCTCCCGGCCACACCTCACCCCTTCCCACAAACTTGGCCCCTCACAAAACAGCCTTTCAATTTTACTTCTAACTCAAAAGGGAAGGAAGCTGCCGCCAAGCCAAGGACGAAAGAAGTTTACTGTCTCCCCTGGCAACCGCTGCCCTAGGAGCCGCATTCAGTCACTCTGTCCAGGTTGCCATGGACACTGGGGGAGCCCAGGGGGTTCGAGCTGTGGAGCCTAGGGAGGCGTGGCCACTCCCTCCTTCCCATCCCAGCTGCCTTGCCCCACACCTGCTCCTCAGGGACGGGAAGAAGGGGGGCCTCCAGGGCCCTGAGGTCCTTCCTCTGACCTGGGAGGTGGTCACTGGGAGCCCCTGCCTCAGTTTCCCTACATGCAGTCAACAGGACACAGATCCAGACCTGGCCTCCACTCCCCATCGCAGGAATGCTGTGGGGTTTCAATGGTCAGAATGACCTCGCTGACTGCCCCCCAACCCAGCCCACATGCAACAGCAATGGCCACGGGGGCAGGCCGTGCCACCTGCAGGCACAGGGACCAGTGGGCAGCAGGGAGAGAGAGTGCCGCAGGACCGCAGAGCCCTGGACCAGGGGTCTCATCCCAGCCCCACCCTGACCTCGGGCCTATCATGCCCCCTCTCTGGGCCTCAGTTTCCCCATTTGTAATAAGACGATCTCCAGGCTCTGAGGTTCTCTGTAGATCCAGCCCCAGGGAAAGGCCTTGAGGTCATCCTCATCCAATCCCTGCCTCAGGTGCGGCCTCACTCACACCATCTCAGACCAAAGACAAACACCAGCCTCCCTCTACATGCTGTTCAGGGGCCTCACCAGACACACGAGGGAATTTTCTAGACTAACGCAGGGCCCCAGCAGCTGTGTCCTAGCAGAAAATGGACCTGCCACCTCCCACCTCCTCTTCCCTTCCCCTGCCAGCCATGGGGGCAGTGCCAGCTTCATTGTCAATCAGAGGCTGGCATTTAAGAGGCAGCCCCCGGGGGCCTGGCACTGTCCCAGGGGCTAAAAGAGAAGAGGCCTAACCTGGGAGGGGCTGGCTCCGAGCCCCGCCACCACGGACAATGCAGGAGTCTGGCCAGCCCACCCTCCACACCCTCTGCAAACCCTGGTAAAACTAGCTCTGCAATGTCCCCAGTGCTAGGGGCCACTGCGGGGCCCCCAGCCTGCTCCTCTGCAAGTCCCAACAAGTCGGGGGCTTGTCTAGGCGGGCGGATACCAGGACATGGGCACATCCCACAGCCACACACAAAGAAATGTGTATCCCTCTTCCCAACACAGTGTGCAAGCCCCTGCGTGGACAGGCCTGGCTCAGGGGTCCTCGGCTAACCCTGGCTCCGCCAGCAGCACACGGGGGACCCTGGGCCAGCTTCCCACATGTAACATCAGAGGGTCATGTCTGAGGCCCTTCCAGTGTTCCATGGCCAGCTGCTCCCCAGAACTCCCAGCCCAGTTATCTCTTCTTATACCCAGGAAACAACACTGCAATGCAGAGCCCTGGGCTGGGAGTTGAGAGACCTAGCCTTAACTGGTTGTGTGACCCCATGCACAGTGCTTTCCCTCTCTGAACCTGTTATCTCCTTTTTTAAATGAGCATCATAATGGTCCCAACCTTGGTGCATTAAATATAAAGAACCCAGCACGTGCTTGGCACAGAGTAGGCACTCAAGTGGTACCTACTTTTATGACTGCTATTAGCACCCACACACCTCCCATCTGCACACATACTCCCTCCCTCATGCAACTCTCCCACCAACTTTCAGCCACCATCAACTTCCCAGGGGCACCTCCCATGAGCCTGGAGGCCCAAAGGAGACAGTGCATGGAGAGCAACCTGCACCCCTGGCCCTGCCCACATCGACCTCCTGCCCTGGGCCCTGGGACCCCCACAAGCCTGCAGCACAGGTCCCCGGGGGATGTGAACTCTGTCCGGACGTGGAGGCAGGCATGGCTTCTCCATCCTTCCTTGGCTGGGCCTCACCCCCATGGGGAGTGGCAGCAGACCTTGCGGCCACCCCAGATGGCCTGCAGAACACTGCCTCTGCCTACCCCAGCCTGCCCTGGCAGCCAGCCACTGCTGGGGACCCCAAGGCCCCTGTAAATGGGAGCACAGGGAGATGCCCAGAGACTCAAAGGGTGGCAGGAGCCTCCAGGAGTCTTATTCTCTGTGCCCCCCACCCCAAGCAGGAATGAAATACCCCTGGGGGCAAGCACTTGATTCCATCATTTCGTGGATCCCTCACAACTCCACACCATAGCACCATCCCCACTACAGAAAACAGACTTAGAGAAGAGTGACTCGCTCCATTCAAGTTGGCCATTCAAGTTGGCAGAGCCACAGTTGGAGCCCAGCCCGGCCTGGCGCCAGGGCCCACATCTTGCCCGGTGCGCGGGCCTGCCCTCACAGCAGGGGAGCCCCTGGCCCCCTCTCAGCCCTGGGCAGCACCCACCCTCTCGCTGACTGCATTGTACTTGATGGCCAGCTCGTCGCGCTCGGCTCGGCTCTGGGCCAGCAGGTCCTCCACGCGGGACAGCTCCTGCTGCAGCAGCTGGTTCTCCTCCTGCAGCGACAGCATCGATGCCATCTCTGTGGGCGGCAGCAGGGCTGGAGAGGGACAGCGGGCACATGATCAGATTCCACCTGGGTCTAGGGGGCCGTCCTCCCCCTACAGGTGCCCCACCCACCACTGGAGGCAGGAAGATGGACCAGGTCCCCGGGAGGAGCCCGGTGGGAGTGGATGCAGCACCAGACCGCACGGACAGAGCTGAAGAGCAAGGAGCTGGGCAGAGACAGGCCTGGAGCCAGACTTGGAGTGGACACGACCACAGCTGACGTGTGGCCCCAGCAGGCCCAGGGGTGCAGGAGGGAGGTTCAGTCTAGGAGTCAGGAGCCTCGGCCCCGAATTCTGGCTCCTTCCTTCTCCAATTACCACACTTCCCTGAACCTCAGTTTTACTGATCTGTAAAATGGGTGGAACAGTAACCAGACCACATCAGGAGAGCAGGAAAGCCTCACTAAAGGGAACGGCTCCACGTACCTTCTGACGCTCGGGCTCAGGATAGTGTAGATCAGGTGATGAGGAGGAAGAAGAGGAAAAGAAAGGCCAGAGGGAGAAGTAGAAGTGTCCCCCCATTCTGTGGACTCCTCTTCTGCCCAGCGAAAACTGGACACCCGCCACGGGCCTCTAGGCTCTTCCAGCCTGGGCTGTGGGCTAAGTCTTTCTTTGTCTGGGGCTCCCAGGGGCCCTGTATCCCTGGTCCTCCCAAGGAGGTTAAGGCTGGAGTGCAGCAGGAACACCAGAACCACCACCAAGAAGAGATGCAAACACACTGGCTGTCGCTGAGTGTGCTCTTCCCAGATTCTCAAAGCACATATGAGCTTGTGGGTGCTGCCCACCTGGAGGGGCAGGGGCCTAGCAGCCTTCCTGCCTGAGTGGGGAATGGGCAGTACCACTCCTTGGACTTCTGCAAAGCTCTGGGCTAAACTGAGCTGCCCTCCCCCTGTAATCTCCATTTCGGCCAGCTCATACCTTCCCTGGGAGGGAATGTGGTATTTGGGGTTGAAGTCTTTGCAGCTGGCTGCAGGCAAGCAAGGAGGGGATGTTCAGCCCTGCCTTCGAGCAGCATCGCATGGGGAACAAGTCTGGGCAAATTACACCTCTGAGCCTCCATTTCCTCATCTGTAAAGTGGGTCCCTCCATTATAGGGTTATGCCTGCCTCACAGTGAGTATTCAAGAAATGAAAGCTGTAATCATTAACATCATTATGACCGTTGAGGAGCGCGATGTGAGATGAGGCGAGATGTGGGCAGTGTCTGTGGGGGGACAGGGACGGGTGGTGGTACCTGGGCTCTCAGGCCGGGAGAAGTTGCGGGTGACAATCTCCCTGACGCGGGCGGGCAGGCAAGCGGGCTGACAGTCCTGGGCCGGGTCCTGCACGCTCAGGCCCTTCTCCTGGACTGGCCCCAGGACACTGCTCTCCAGTGTCTGCGGGGAAAGAAGGAGGGTCTGCAGGGGACCTCGGACCCTGGGCAACCTGGCCTGGGTGGGAGAGGAGCAAAGTCCTGCCGCCCAAGATGTGGGTGCCCAGGAGACCCTCAGGAAATTCCCAAAATGGAGGGAAGTCTGGGAGTTAGAATCGGAAAAAGCCCCATGGGAGGACACTCGAGTGTGTGCCCTGCTCCAGGAAGGAGGGCCCCTTGACGGCCAGAGACGTGAGCCAAACCCCACGTCCCACTCACAAACCCCATCAGGGCTGCAGTGTTGGGGGCTCCAATCCAGCTCCGACCTCAGATGCGTGAGGACCCCACTGTGCCAGCACAGGTCCCCCAACCCTAAAATCTGGGAGTAGGGACCCTGGTCCCCCAGGGCACTGGGACAAGGGAGCCACAGCAGTTGAGTCTCGCTCACTTCTCTACTGCCAGCCTGGCCAGGAGCGGAAAGCTGGGGTGCCTGTGCACCCCCACCACATCTCTCTCACCACTCGACCCCAGATGCGCCCACCCCTACCCACTCCTGCTAGGCCCACGCTCCCTTGCCCTGGACGGGGTGAGCACAGCCCCCAGGACCCACCTGGATAACCGTCTCTAGTGCCAGCTGGACCTCCGACGACCCCTCCAGCCCCAAGCTCAGGGGGGAGGCTGTGGGCCCCCTCTGCCCCCTTCTCCAGGGCCCCGGAGACTAGGTCAGCCCGCCCACCCCACAGCCAGACTGCTGTGCTGAGCACCCGGCAGATTAGGCTTAAATCCGGCGGTGCCTCCACGTGACCACGGAGGTGGGAGGGACTGAGGGAGGGGGAGGGGATGGGAAAGGAGAGGAAGGGAGGGAAGCGAGGCAGACGGAACCGGGGGAAGAGGAAGGATAAAGAGGGGGAGGGTAGGAGAGAGGGGGGAGGTGGAGGAGAAAGGGAAGGAGTGGAGAGACGGAGGGGGGAATCTGGAGGTGAGGACACCCCCCCCATACACACCCACACACCCACCCACACCCCCCCCCCACACACACCCACACACACACACACACACACACCTCCCCAGCAGCTGGGTCCTAGAGCCCTCCAAGCCCAGAGGTGGGGTCAGCCTCCAGGAGGCGGGAAAGTCCAGAGTCTTCCAGACCACCTTTGCTGACCCAGAACAGGGTCACATGGTTTGCTGTATTTACAGGGTGCTGGGGTGACATTTTCCCACATCAGGTGTAGGGCAAAGGACACAGGGGTGGAATCGCCTAGACCATCAAGGAACCGAATCCTCCTCACCCCTGCTCCCACCCCCTCCCCGCCACTGGCTGTGTGTCCTCGGGAAAACAACTTTGCCTCTCTGAGCCTCAGTGTCCTCGTGTGAGATGAGGATAATACTGGCACCCACCTCATGGAGTTGTCTGGGAATTAAACAAAACATCGAGTGTGTATAAAGTTTGTGTGACTCGGCTGGGCTCATAGAGAGCATTCGATAAATACTGATCTCATTTATTTGAAAATCTGATGTGTACAGTCCCTCTACCTCAGGGCCCTGCGGCTCAGGGGTCCACTCACCGCCTCCCACTGTTCCTTCCCTGCAGCAAGGAGGCTGTATGGCATAGTGGTTAGGCTCGCAGCTCTGGAGTCAGGGTCAGATCTGGGGTCGCATTGGAGACCCAGCTCTGCCACATGTTGGCAGTATGACCTTGGACAAGTTACCTCTCTGAGCCTCAGTTTCCTCTTCTCTAGAATAGGACTAATAGCACCTACCACAGAGAGTTATTGTGAGGATGAGGATGAAACGGTTGAAAGGTGTAGGGGCTGAGAACCACGGCTGGCACATGGTGAGCTGTCAGTAAACGGAGCTGCTGTTCCGCCGTCATTAGCATCCTGTGTTTGGGCTCCTGCTACCTCTGGGCCTCAGGGCGCCCTCCGCTCTAAGTGCCATGTCCCACAGGAGGCATATTCACGTGATCTCACTAAATCCTCACCTCCACCCATTTCCAGATGAGAAAACCGAGGCTCAGAGAGTTTGTGGCTCCTACCTATTCAAAGGGAGACGTGGCAGGGAGGTGGTAAACCCAAAGCTCATTCCACCGCTCATTCCAGGCAGCCTCCCAGTCAGAGCCTCAAGAGCAAGGCCAGGGCATTTGCACTTTAAGACTCCACCATGTCCAAGTCAGAGCCAGGAATGCAGCAGGTGCTGCATAAATGCACATTAGTCCAGCCTGGACCCCTCATCCCCAACTAAGGAATCCATTCTGCAAATGGAAAAACAGGAAACAGGGCACACCAGGCCCAAAAGGTAAGCGCCACCAAGTTGCCATGGCAACCAAGGCCAGATTTAGGAAAAACTAAACTCGGCCAGAGGCAGAGAGCTGTCACTACAAAACCCTGGGTCCCCCATTCTTCCAGCTCTGGAGCCTCCAGAAACCCCTCCACGGGCTGCATACCCGTAACCAGAGCAGGGGGAGGCCACAAACACCGCTAGGCCAGGACCTCCAACCCTGCTTGCTCAGCTCCACAGACACAGGGCCCCAGATGTGCTTGGTGAACTGAGCTGAATTATTCTGTGCCTTCCCCCAGCCAGTGCCCTAAGGGATGGGGGGAAGGGAGCAAGATGTCAGAACCCTGGGCACTGGGTGATAGCAACCCTTGGCTCTGCCCACAGAGTTCTCCCCCTAGCTGCCTACTGGGTTCTATAGATCCCAAGAAATCATATCTAAACCCTCTGCATGCGTGCTCAACATTTGCAGCTTCCAACCAGTTCTCAAAACAATGATTGAATTCCTCACAGGAAAGCCTGGATGTTACAGCTTCAGCGTCTGACTGCCGGGACTCCAATCTTGGCTATGCCTCCCCACCAGCTGGGTGACCCTGGGCCAGTGACTTCGTCTCTCTGAGCTTCAGTTTCCCCATCTGTAAAATGGGATAATAATGCTGTCTGCTTCTATCATGAGGATTAAATAAGATGATCCATGCTTAGCTGTGTGCCTGGATACAGTGTGGCAGAAACTGCCATGTGTTCACCAAAAAACATTTTTGAGTCTTAGGAAAAAGGCTAGAAGTCAGATATGGGCATGTAATCAAGTTCTGGCCAGTAGAATTAAGACAGAAAGAATGTGTGCCACTTTAGGGCCGGCCCCGTGGCTTAGCGGTTAAGTGCGCGCGCTCCGCTGCTGGCGGCCTGGGTTCGGATCCCGGGCACGCACCGCCGCACCGCTTCTCCGGCCATGCTGAGGCCGCGTCCCACATACAGCAACTGGAAGGTTGTGCAGCTGTGACATACAACTATCTACTGGGGCTTTGGGGGGAAAAAATAAATAAATAAAATCTTTTAAAAAAAAAAAAAAAAAAAAATGTGTGCCACTTTAGACCTGGCCTATAAAAACCTCCCATGTGGGCCAGCCCTAGCAGCCCAGTGGTTAAGTTCGGTGCACTCCACATCAGCAGCCCAGGTTCGGTTCCCGGATGCAGACCTACACCCCTCGTCTGTCAGTGGCCATGCTGTCACAGTAGCTCACACACAAAAAGAGGAAGATTGGCACATACGTTAGCTCAGGGAGAATCTTCCTCAGCAAAAAAAACAAAAAACAAAAACAAAACCCTCCCATGAGGAATTGTTTCTCTCCTTCCCTGTCCACCAACTGGAAGGAAATAACGCTGAAGTCCTGGGAGGATGCCGGAGCCACAAGATGGAAGGGGTCTGGGTCTCGGGTCTCTGGGTCACCACGTAGAAAGCCACCTGCCGAACACCCAACAGGACTTTTCATGAACAAGAAATAAACTCTGCTGTGTTAAGCCTCTGAGATTTCAGGGTTTCACCATCACATCAACTGGTATTGCCTTAATTACACACGTGATTCAACGCTGGATAAGTGTTGGCTATTGTTAGTTATCGTTACGTCATTAGTATTACTGGCTCTTCCCAGTCTCCCATCTAGAACCTTGTGCCTGGTACACAGAAGACCCTCAGCCATTGTTTGGGGAACAAATACAGAGGAGACACGCTTTGCACTCACTCCTTCCCACCCCTGCTCGGCCCTTGACCACCTCCAAACCTGCTGTCTGCCGGGTCTACCTGCAGGAACTGGCTACAAAGTCCCTCAAAGATGACTCGGGCGTTTCAAACATACCAGCTGTTCTTACCCACTTCTCACTTCTTTATTCTCCGGTCGCTGACTAGAAATTATAACAAAAATATTGAACCAACCTTTGAGCCTGTGCCCAAAACTCTGCATCTGACTCTTATCTGTTTTAACCTTCTTGACAGCCCCATGTCGGTACTGTTCTACCCACTTGACAGATGACACTAAGGCTCAGTGAAGTTAAATAACTTGCTCAAAGCCACCCAGCCATGAAGAGCTGAAGCCACAGGTGAGATCCAGGTATGCCTGGTTCCAAAGTTTTAAACAATGACAGCAACGGCTATTTAAACATAACAGCAATTATGTAGTGCTTACTGTGTACCAGGCACCACACTAGGTCTCTGATGTGCAGTAATAAGCCACTGCCATCTCTTGCCTGGACTGCTGAGATGGTTCTTCATGGGTCTCCTCACTTCCCAGCTTGTGCCCCCACCCTAGTCTATTCTCACAAAGTGGAGATCGCATCCGTCTTCTGCTCAGCGCCCCCACCCCCAGTCCCCACAGCCTCCTATCACATTCAAAATAAAATTCAAAGTCCTGCCACAGCATACAAGGCCTGCCCTGTCTGGCTCCGGCCCACATCTCCCACCTCCTCTCTTTCTCTCTCCCCTTTGCTCATTCCACTCCAGCTATGCTGGCCTTCTTGATGCTAAAACACACTAAGCATGCTCCCACCCCAGGGCCTTTGCACCTGCCATTTTCTCTCCCTGGAATGTTCTTCCCCCTTCCTGTCATGGCTCACTCCTGCTTGTCAATTAGATCTTGGCCAAAAATGTCACCTTCTGAAAGAGCAAACCCTGACCTCCCAGCAAAAGCGGTCCCTGCCAGTAGTCATTCACTGTTTTCTCCAACATGTATGTTGTCTCTCTCCTCCAAGGGCAGGGAGCAGCTGGCCTTGTTCACTGCTGTCTCCACCATGCCTAAGGCCCAAAGCCCCATGAACAGCTGCTGAATGAATGAATGAATGCGAAGAGACAATAATATAGAAACTAAATGAAAAAAATAGAAAAGAAAAAGAAACAATTCCCCTGGGCTTTGGCCGGGGTCACATTGGGCACGTCTCGGCCATGGGTGATGTGACCCACAGACTGGGATCCCGGAAGGCCCCCCTGTGAACACATATCCGGCACCCGCCACCTCAAGGCAAAACCAGGCAGTGCCCCCGATGCGGGACTCCTGGATGAGAGGGGTGCCTAGGCTCCAACTGCTGACCCCCATCGCCAGGACTTGAGAGAAAGATGGGAGAGGAGGAGCTAAGTCAGGGAAACCCCCAAGATCGGGGGCTCTGACTCCTGAGGTCTCTCCTGAACCCCCCTCCTGAGGGAGGAGCTGGGCCTGCCCTCAGCCGCTGGCTGGCCCCTGCCCAAGATTTGTTTATTAAGCACCTGCTGCCGGCCCAGCTAAAGAAAACAGGAAATCTCAGATGAAAACAGGCAGAAGGTAGCCTCATGGAACCCTCCCCATGTCCCAATCCCCCAGACAAGTCCCGGCCCCAGAGGGAGCTGGGGAGACTGGCCATCAAGGGGCGGACAACGCCCCAGAGCACTGTCCTCTTGGGTTTGCAGAAAAATCACGCTCAAAATGCCAAGCCCAGAGACTGGCACAGGGCGCCTCAGGCCTCATTTTGAGAAACCCAAGGAGGCCCCAAATCCCTGCACAGGCTGTGCCATCTTGGGCAACTCAACTGACCGCTCTGGGCCTCAGTTTCCTCAGTAGCAAGAGGGAGCTACTTTCCACTCCGCAGGGTCGCATTGAAGGTGAAGTGACATGGCACACCAGGAGGGCAGTGACGGTGCCTGGCCCACAGGAAGGGATCTGCTGCTTGTGGTGACTCTTAGGAAGGGCCTCCCACGGCAGCTCGGCCCGGGGGAGCGAGGGGACCCCGGCGGAGGGGCGCTCGTCGTGCGCCTGCAGGCCGCCGAGCTCCGGCAGGCCGCCGCCTCGTCCCGCCC